CTCCCAGCCATATGCTGCGCCTTCTTGACTGCCTGCGCCCGGCTGCGTCGGAGTCGCCGGCGGCGCGTCTGCGCCTGTGAACTTGTCCAGGGTGAGCGTGGCAGACTTATCGCGGTCTCCCCGAGCTGCCTTCTCGCGGGGAAGCTGCCCTCACTTTGCGCGGTGAAGGTCGCTCCAACCGATGGCCAGCGCATGGCGCGTCGGAGGCTGAGCGACACCGTCGGAGGCCGCTGCTGGCAATCCTGGCGGGGCATCCGATGACCCAATAATTCGAACGGTCGTTGGGCCTGTCCTCCCCGCGGGCAATGCGCGCCCTGCTCCGGGAGCGTCAGCGGCCCGCTGCTGCGTCGCCGCCTGCTGCACTCCGGGTTTCGAGACATCTGCCGCGCCGCGATCCATGCAGTCTTATCTATGGCCTGGTCGAGTCTGAACTGATTCTGCATGGGCCCCTGGGGCAGGATCGGCAGCTGCGCGTTGCAGCCCGTGAAGTCTGGCATCGCGTGCTGAAGCGGAGGCGGTGGCGGTGCTACTGGCTACTGGTCTGGAGGTGCCACTGCCTGATGTCCCCGTGCTGGCTCGGCTCTGAATGCGCGTTCGCAGTCGTGAGGGGTGGCTGCAGCAAATTCCTCGTCTATCGCCATCCCTAAGTCCTCTAGCGCCTGCTCGAACTGCTGAATGCCATTCCTGATGGCGTAGACCTCGCTGTCCACGATAGCGAGGGTATCCTGGATCTTGCCGTGTATTCCTTTGCGTAAGTCCATGGCATGTTGAAGGCGGGCCTTTGCCTTCAGAATCTGCTGAAGCAAAAGGAAGAGTATCAGATGCGTGCATTTGATCACGGCGGTCTCCTCGGCTGCCGGCTAGTCTTCTGCGTTGGTCTGGCGAAGCAAAGATTCGCGAACTCCCCGCAACAGCTTACAACCCGCCGTCGGGGCAACGAATCACCCGTGCTCCTCGGCGACTGACTTGGTGGCTGGTGGGATCTTGGGCAAGACCTGCTGAATGTGAGCTGAATTCGGCTGTGTCTGGTTATCTTGAACCCTCTGGCGTCTGCCCCAACCACGACGACCTGACGTCGTGGCGCGGCGATTGACGTCTCCTTTGCTTTGCCTGTGCCGACAGGCGGGGCCACCTGATTGCGGACGTTGGTCCCGCAACAACATGTCAGGTAGTTACCGCTATGGCACCACCAGACCTCGCGTGAATGTGGGCCCCTTGTGCGCTGCCGAAAGGGACTGGTGTTTGTCAGGAGTCAAATTACAAGTGGTGCCCACGTAATGAAAAGACATGTTCGAAACCTCCCCCCCATGGTGGGTCGGATACTGGAGACCACAGGGAATGGTTTGACCCATGGGCTACGGTCGTTTCCACCCCTCTTTTTCCGCCTGCTGCTCACCCTGCTCGTTCTTCAGGGGGTTCCCGAACGTCGCCCGAGGGTCATGTGCCTTGCGTATGGCAGCCAAACCAATGCCGACCCCGATCACACCCCACTCCCCTCAGGCGTACCCACTCACCCTACATCCTGCTTCTTTTCGGATAGATGCGTCGCGCCACGTCACAAAACGTGTCCGTCGGCTGGCCTGGGCGTGTCGTTTGATTTTTCGCTACGATATCATACCCCGGCGCTCAAACTTTCCAGCGTTAAACGTTGCGCACATTCGTATATCAAATTTGCGAAACGGACGCGGAAGGAAGATGCTAATCTTTGCTGTTTGCTTCTTGAAGGGGTCTCTCACCTTCGCGCCGCGCCTATTCGTTTTAGAGGATTACAACAACAACCTTTTTGTTGTTTTTGTTTTTCTTTCCGACTGGTACCTCAATTCTTCCCACGTGCCATGGCCACCCATGTCGAATTATACTAGGGTTCTCGATCGAGGCTGGCTCGTTTTCAACATGGGGCTCTTGCCCGATACTTCTTCGACTCGTTACCACAAGCGTGAAACAATGCTATGGCTAACTCCTTTTTTACACATATATACAGACATGTATGCACATGTAGTAGGAACAAAGCCGGGCTCTCGTCTGACACCACCATCGAATGCTACGGCCAGAAGCTTGACCAGGCGTAGCGGCTGCACGGGTGGAGAACAGCTCCTTTTCAACATGGGGCCGTCGCGTGAGAGCTCCCCAGGCTTAGCGACCAGGACTGCAACCTTGCGGGTACATTAGACGGACAGGGGACGGCTCTTCCTCAACATCGAACTCTCACTGGACACCTCGTTGAACTGTGTGATCCTGCCTTGTCGCATTCTTCTTAATCAGCTGAAGTATGCATAACAGTTTCGGCGGCGAGCGAGGGGGGGGGGAAGTGAGAAGGGGCGGGTCTTCTCAGAAAACTCGGACGTCCCCCGGCCTTCTGAGAAGTGTTCTGAGCCTCTCCCGAAGACGCAACAAACTTCTCAGAAGGTCGGAAGGCTTCTGAGAAGTCCCGCCGCCTTCTGACAAGGCCTTCTCCTTCTCACTTCCCCCCCCTTGCCCGCCGACGACAGTGTGCCTCCCTTCCAAAGCAATTGTCTCGCATGACTGCCAGGCCCAAAGGACGCTCGTCTTGCACGGGGGGGCGCCCCCTGCAGCGACAAAGAAGAGAAGTTCCAGGGCCTCACGGGGGAGGAGCTTGGGCCAGGAGGGTGCGCTGCAGCCTTGTTGATTGACAAATCTAGAGGGGCCCAGGGACACACAAGCGAATGGACACACATTCCAGGACTCTATAGATTTTCCCATCAATGTTCTGAGTTTTCGTCTTCCCCCCCACTTCCCATGGTTTCCCATCCGTTCCTGGGAGTCGACGATGCCTTGTGCCTGTGTGTCCTTCCCCCTCCTGCTGGACATCGTGGGCAACCACTGAGGAACGACGAGGGCGGGGGGCAACGGAAGATGGGCACACGACCCAGCGTGGGCACGGGCGGCCCGCCGCGGACCGCCGGCGGCACGCCTGCCGCGAGAGCCCGTGCCCACGCCGAGCCCGTGGCTGCAGCCGCCTCCGCAGGATGCCTCCTCCCCGCCCTCCTCCTCCTCCTCGTCCTCGTCCGCCCAACTCGTCCTCCTCCTCCTCCTCCTCCTCCTCCTCCTCCTCCTCCTCGTCCTCGTCCTCCTCCTCCTCCTCGTCCTGCCCTTCCGCCTCCCCCTCGTCCTCCCCCTCGGCCTGGCCCTTTTGGGTCGTCGCCCAGCTCCTCCTGCCCCTGCCCCCCCCCCCCGGGTTCCCCCTGTTTGCTTCTGCTGGTCGTCCTTCTCCCTGCTCCTCCTTCTGCGCCTGCTGCTACTTCTCTGTTGCTCTTATTCTTCTTCTCGTCATTATTACCACTACCTTCGTCATCTTAACCACTCTCCTTCTCCACGTTCTTTTCCGCCTCGTCCTTCTCCTCGTCCTCCAAGCCACACCCCCCCCCTCCTCAGCCACAAGCGCCGCCCATCGGGCGGGCAGTCGTGGGGGTGACCCAAGTGAAGTGAAGGGCCCCCCAAGGGGCCCCTTTTGGAGCCAGCTGCCCCTTTTGGAGCCAGCTGATGCCCAAAAGAGATCCGAAAGGGCCCCCTCAAGGCCCTTTATAGGAAAACAACAAGTGACATAAACATCACAACTCGGAGGTCCGCGCGGATTTCGTCGGATCGGCGCTGGACCCCCTCCCTGGCGAGCGGAGCGCGCCAGGGGCGGCGCTGGAGGCGCCGCCGGGGGGGCCCAGCGACGATCCGAGAACTCCGCGCGGACCTCCGAGCTTTTATGTTTTTATGTCACTTTTGGTTCCCCTGCGTTGGCCCGCGCGTCCTCCTCCTCCTCCTCCCCTCCTCCCCTCCTCGCGCACGCCGTCCTTCGGCAGGGCGCCTGCCGCTGTCGCCCCCCCCCCCCGCCCCCTCGGGGATGGACAGACCTCCCTTTAGTAAAACGTGGTTTAGTGGAAACGACTTCGGGCCCAAACTTGGCGGGCGCAAGCCTGGAAAATAACGGCCACGACGCCCTCCCGAAAACCGAAAACGGACAATTCACTAATCGACGTGTCACTGTTGGGGGTTCTGTCCTCCCCCGACCCCCCCTGCCACGGGCCCCCGCGGAGGGCCCCCGGAACGCGGGGCCCCCGCGCCCTCGCCTCTTCGCCACCACCGCCCCGCGTCAGAGCAGGGATCCCCCACGAGCTGCGGCCTCCCGGGCGCACTCCTCGGCGAAGGCGGAGGAGGCGGAGGAGGAGGAGGAGGAGGAGGAGGTGGAGGATCGCCCCTCCTCCCATCCCATGACATTCCTTTCTGCACAAGGAGGGGGCATTACTGCGGCATGCCGCCCAAGCAGCCAAGCTGCTACGATTCACCCTGGCGTTCCTCCTGGACGCTCCCTTGACAAGGAGCAGGAAAGAAGGGGGCGGCGGAGGATGTGGCAGAGGAAGGCGGACGAGCAATACAGTCGGACTTGATTGGAGAGGACACGCGAGAGGACACAAAACCCTTCCGAGGGCCACGTTGCCACATAACTGCAGGAGGCATGGATCGCAAAACACAGGACACGAGGGTACCCTCGATTTGGCAGGGTCGACCTACTAATCCGGGCCGCCTATATCCGGGGGGCAAGGGTAGCTTCAAGGTGAAAGAACAGGGAGGGGGACGAGGAGGCTGACGACGAGGAGCGATCCGCTCAAGGCCCCGAGAAGTCAGAAAACATCCCAAGAGCACCCACGTTTCTCAGGAAGTTCGACCAATCCATGTTGGCACCCTCCTGCGGGATCCCAGCAACTCTGGGTGGGGCCCAGGGACACACAAATGAATAGACACAAATCCCAGGATCCCCCATACTTTCTCACATGTTCTTGATTTTCGTCTTCCATCCCATTTCCCATGTTTTCCATTTTGTCATGCCAATCGAAGATCACTTGTGTCTCTGTGTTTTCTTCCCTCCCGAAGCTCTGCCGGGTGAATCGCACCCTTCCGAGGCTGCGCCGTCCCCCTCCGGCGATCGTCGTCGTCGCCGCCGCCAGTCCTCTCCGCCCACGTACGGGCCGAAGCAGATGCTGCACTCCATGTCACCACGGCCCAGGTGCTCCTCTCCTCTGGAACGCGGCGTAAACCTGCACGGCGGTCGGCTAGCTAATTCTGGTGCGGAGATGATTGCGGAAGGCGATGGTAAGACAGGAGAAATTCTGGAAGGAAAGGAGGGTCTGGACCTGGGGTCACCACGGCCCAGGTGCTCCTTTCCTCTGGGACGCGGTGTAAACCTGCACGGCGGTGGGCCAGCAAGACCGGTGCTGGGATGACTGCGAGAGGCGATGGTAAGACAGGACAGACAAAACGTATATAGAGGACGGGTGGTAAGGACGCACGACCTTTGGATGCCGAAGTTGGGACTTCTTGTGGCGGCGGGCGACCAGTGAAAACGGCAAAGAGCGGGCCGCAGAGACAAGGACACAAAGGGCACCCTAGATGTAGGAGCGCGTCCTTACTAGGCGCGTTGACTGTTTTGTAATGAAGGAGAAAGGGTTTAATGAGAACAAAAACATGGGACCAAGGCTTGCCGCGGGACCGGCATTTCATCCTGAGCCATCTCAGTTTCGCATCTCACGGCAGCTCCCGCATGAGGCTTCTCAATAATTCAGGCGACAATTCAGGCGCGAGGGGCCAACAAATGGCGACTCTTGCATGGTTCGGATGGCCCGCTCGGGTTACCAGCGTGAAATCCAAGGTCTACAAGGAAAGAGGCTCCCGCTTGAGATTTCCTCGCGTTTCAATCACAACGAAACTCCCGCTTGAGGTTTCTTTAATATATTAAGGCGCGGGGGGGGCAGCAATGACGACACTCACAAGGTTCGGATTACCCGCTGCGATTGCCAACGTGAAGGCGGGCCTCAAAAACAGGGGGTTCCACCCTGACACTTCCGCGCAATCCACTCACAGACAGGGCCCCTCTTGGTCCGTTATCATGATGGGATGGCGACAATGATGACAATGATGGTGTGCCCTGCTGATGGCCGATGATCATGATGGAATTATGGCGTGATGACGATTGAATGATGAGCGACTGTGAGTGAAGGAAAGAAAAAGTGGATGACGACGAGGGCTGGTGATACTGATGGGATGGTGGTAATGATGATGACGGTGAGTGGGATGATGATTGATGGTGGTGGTGATGATTCTTACGATGGCGATGGCAGGAGTGGTTGTGAAGACGACGTGGGGCGGCCGCGGATTGCGCGGGGTGTCCGGGGAAAAAAGCTTCGACGGTGGGACCCCGCACGAAAATCTGTTAAGCTTGCCCTTAACCCTTTCCTCCTCGCCCTGGCGGACACCCTTCTCTCGCCCTTTGCTTTGCCCTCTCTTCCACTCCTTCCATATATATATATATATATATAGATATATCCGCCGGCCCCCTTGTGGGGCCACCAGGCTGTAGGCACGGGTTCGCAGTTTCCAGTACCAGTTGTAGCTTGTAGTTTCCAGTGTTACAGTTCTGCTTCTTGCTGGTTACTGTAACTAGTTGATTGACCGCGCGAGGGGGGGGAGGCCCAAACAGGATTTTTTAGCACCCCCTGGGCGCGTTGTCTGAATTGCTGGGGGGGCTCGAAATCGACACCCCTCACGCAGATCCGCGGGGTCAGGGTCCAAAAACACATGGGATTTGCCACATTTCTGAAATTCGGTGCCACCCCTCACGCAGATCCGCGGGGTCAGGGTCCAAAAACACAAGGGATTTGCCACATTTCTGAAATTCGGTGCCACCCCTCACGCAGATCCGCGGGGTCAGGGTCCAAAAACACATGGGATTTGCCACATTTCTGAAATTCGGTGCCACCCCTCACGCAGATCCGCGGGGTCAGGGTCCAAAAACACAGGGGATTTGCCACATTTCTGAAATTCGGTGCCACCCCTCACGCAGATCCGCGGGGTCAGGGTCCAAAAACACAGGGATTTGCCACATTTCTGAAATTCGGTGCCACCCCTCACGCAGATCCGCGGGGTCAGGGTCCAAAAACACATGGGATTTGCCACATTTCTGAAATTCGGTGCCACCCCTCACGCAGATCCGCGGGGTCAGGGTCCAAAAACACAGGGATTTGCCACATTTCTGAAATTCGGTGCCACCCCTCACGCAGATCCGCGGGGTCAGGGTCCAAAAACAAAGGGGATTTGCCACATTTCTGAAATTCGGTGCCACCCCTCACGCACATCCATCGCAAGGCGTGGTAACCCAAACTGCGAGTACTCCCTCGGCCCTTTAATCCCAAGGTGTGGTAACCAAGCTCGTAAACCATACACGTCTTACCAATCGCCCTGTGTGGTAACCCCTCTTGTGATCAGTTGGTTTTGCCGATTGCGAATCGGCCTCGCATGAAGTTCCGATACTGCTGCACGACAGCGCCAAAGCCTCATGACTTAGCTCTTCCATGGCCCATTCTCCGAGAGAGGGGGCCGGCGGCAGGGGGCGAAGCCCTTACGGATATATATATATATATATATATATATATATATATATACATACATACATACATACATACATTACATACATACACAACATACATACAGACATATATATATACACATATGTGTATACATATATATATATATATATATATATATATATATATATATCAGATTCCTCATTATGCTCCTCCTCCTTTACCTTCTCCTCATCACCACCCTCCCGGTGCCCATTCCCCCCTCCTCATCCTCCTTCTACCTCTTCTCCATGTGCGCCTCCCCTTCCCTCCGGCCGGGGCAAACAAATAAATGTTCCTCGGCGCCGTCGCCGCCACGGCCAGCGCGCGCGCGTTCGCCGACGGCTAGATCGCGAAACCTGTGGGGCACCCCGCGGGCCATGTCTTTGGGACGACCCCGCGGACCGCCGGGGCGCGGGGGTGTTCCGTTGGGACAACCTTGCGGGCCAGGCCGTTGAGACAATCACGCGGGCCTCGAGGTGGGCGCGGCCGCGCTCAGGCGGGGGGGCAGCGCGAAACCCAGCGCGAGCAGCTCCGCCTCGGTTCTGGAGCTCTTCGCTATCTCGCCTAACTTCCGGAACGCTTTCCGCAACGACACCGGCGGCCCGCGTTCCAGAAACTGTCGCGTGGGCGGCCGGAGGATCAGCATGTTTCGCATGCGCGTGGCGCGGGAAACATCACGTAGATGTGCAGCCACCAGTGCTCGTCCGACGTGCCCGTGCGACCAGCGGTGTCATCCCTGGCGCACTCGATGGTGGCGCCATCGCCGCGTCGGGGGACTTGGGTTCAGCCGAGCGAGTGGCCCTCGTATAAGAGCACAAAAATGACCCCGCGCATCACCCTTCATTCCGGAAGAGCCCAACAATGACGACACTTATGAGATCCCGAGGACTCGCTCGGATTCTAACTTGGAACTGCGGGCCCTATAACGAAGGGTCTCCCGCTCGAGACTGCCTCGCGGCTCACTCACAGACGAGGCTCCCGTCTGAGACTTCCTCCAGATTTTCAGCGTGGCTGGGGAACCCAAAATTGGCGACAGGTCCAGGTTTCGCCTGACCCGCTCGGACTACCAATCAGCATCGCGGGCCCCACAGGGAGGGCACCCCCGCCTGAGACTTCCTTGCGATTCACTCACAGATGAGGCTCCCGCCTGCGGCTTCTTCTTACAGGATTTGGATGAACCGCTCCGTTTGCCAACGTGAAATGCGTGCTTCATGGGGAGGGGGCTCCCGCCGAAGGTTCCCCCGCAATTTGCACACAAACGAGTCTCCAGCCTGAGGCTTCTTCCAACTTCAAACGCGAAGGGCCCGAAAGTGATGACACATACAGGATCAGGATGACCCGCTCGGATTGCTAACGTGAAATGCGGGCTCCAACGGGAGGGCACTCTCACCTGAGACTTCCTCGCAATTCACGCACAAACGAGGCTCCCTCCTGAGGCTTCTTCAAAATTCAGGTGTGAAGGGCTTTAAAGGTGCTGACAAGTATAGGATCTGGACGACCCACTCCGATTACCAACATGAAGCGCGGGCTCCATAGCGAGGGGGCTCCCGTCTGTGACCTCCTCGCACTTCACTCACAAACGAGGCTCCCGCCTGAAGCTTCTTCAACATTCAGGCCTGACGGGGCCAAAAGAGACGACACTGACAGGATCTGGATGACCCGCTCCCGTTGTCAAAATGAAGTGCGGGCTCCAAAGGGAGGGGGCTCCCCTATTGATCGCAATTCACTCACCAACGAGGCTCCCGCATGAAGCTTCTTCAACATTCAGGCGTGAAGGGCTCACTAATGACGACAGTTGCAAGATCTGGATGACCCGCTCCGACTACGAACATGAAATGCGGGCTCCATAGGGGAGGGGGGGGCTCCCGCCTGGGACGCCCTCACAACTTACTCACAAACGAGGCCCCTTTTGGTCGATTACCTTGATGGATGGTGATAGTGATGACGATCGTGGTGTGCGCTGCTGTTGGCCGATGATCATGATGAGATCATGACACAATGGCGACTGAGTGATGAGTGAGTCTGAGTGACTGAGTGTGTGGATGACGATGAGGGTTCATGATGCTGGTGGGATGGTGGTAGTGATGATGATGGTGAGTGGAATGATGATTAATGGTGGCGATAATGATGATGCTGATGAGGATGCTGGTGATGAGGATGATGATGCTACTGCTGATGATGATAATGCTGATATGCTGATGATGGTGATGATGATGATGATGATGACAGGAGGAGAGGGTGTGAAGAGGACAGGAGGAGAGGGTGTGAAGAGGACAGGGTGGGTGTGAGGTGTGAGGACTGCGCGGTGTGTCATGTGAAAGCAAGAACCCCAATTATGATGGTGGGAACAAGAACCCCACGTAGGATGCGGGAAACAGCTTCTCAGAAGGCGCGAGGGCTTCTGAGAAGCTCCGCCGCCCTCCGAGGAGGCCTTCTCCTTCTCGCTTCCCCCCCTTGCTCGCCGCCGAGACTCGTATCTTTGTCAAGGCCCTGGTGCACCGTCTCCCGCAACTCGCGCGCTTCTGCGCGTGCGAATGTGCCACGGCTGCCGGAGAAACGCGTCCGACAGACAGGTGCCCAGCCAGCGCGGGGAGGGAAGTGGCGGCCGGGGCCGACGCGCGGCGCCTCCGCTCAGGCCGGGGGCACGGCGGGGGGCTTCTGGGCGTCCGTGGCGGTGCGCATGCTCTTGCGCTGCGAGCGCGGAGTGTTGCCGATGCCCGCCTCGAGCTGCGAGGCGAAGGACTTGAACATGACCTGCACCTTCTCGAGCTGCTCCTTCTTCCTGTCCATCTTGCCACCGTAGTGGTTGATCAGAGCGGCGATCCTGGCCGAGGTGCTCCAGTTCATGAAGATGTGCATCACTAAAATGGACTGTTCCAGCTCGTTGGCGGACTCCACCCTGCCGGTGCTGGAATTCTTGTTTCTGCTTTTCAGCATGGCAAACTTGGAGTTCGCACCATCGATCTGCTGCTGTGCATGTTTAGCCTTCTTCTCATGGTGCACCTCTTCAAGCCAAGAAGTGAAGACGGTGGACAAAAGACCGGTGTCTGTGCTGGCGCTCATCTTTGCGAGAACACCCTTCTGACCCTCCTTGCTCTTGGCCTGGAACGCCTTCAGCCTGGCCTCCGTGGCCTTGACCTGGTCGTTCAACTCCTTGTCCCGCTTGCCATCCGCGGTGAACTTGAGCCACTCCTTGAAGATCATGTCCGTCAGAGCACCATCACTCTGGCCGGCGACTTTGGCCATCGCCTTCTTCGCGTTGGCTTTCTGGGTGCTCTTCATTGCCTGGAGCCTAGCCTCGGCCGCTTGGACCTGCGCAGCCATCGCCTTCTGTTCCTTCTCATCCGCCGTACCCTTGACCCACTCGTTGAACACTTCCTTCAACATCCTTTCCGCATTGCCTGCGAACTGTTTCCTCATGATGCTCTTCATGCCATCCTTCTTCTCCATCTTGAGCTTCAGGAGTTGCGACTCGGCATCCTGGATCTGGCCCCGCCACTTATCGTGGATGTGCTTTTCGCTCTTGTACTTGGTGTAGTATGCAGACCAGGCCGTCCACGCGACTTGCATGATCACCTTAGTGTTGCCCGAGTTCATGCTCAAGATGATGTTGGCGGTTTTCGCGTTCTGCTGACCTCCGAACACCGCCAGCTCCTTCTTGATGTTATCAAGCTCCTTCTGGGCGTTGCCTGCCTCGTCCGCAGCACGTTGAAGGCGAGCCTCCCTGATCTTCATGGCCTTCTTCCAGCCATCCTCAGAGTCCTGGACCTCCTTGACGTCGGCACAAGCAACAATGACGGCGTTCTTGAGGACTGTCTGGGTGATTCCAGCGTCCCCGTCTTCCATTGTCTCTTTGAGATCCTGGCCTGTACCATCCTCGATAGCACCCCGCACTCTCGATACGATGGACACCGCGAGCTGCAACTGCAGAAAAAAACTCTCCAAATTCTTGGCAAGGGCATCGGGCATCAACTTCGCTATCGCCATGCACATCTCCTGCGAGAGTGAAGAAAGATACATGCTCTCCCAAAAGATGGCGACCCTGTGCACTCGAAGACGCTTCCCCTCATCTGCCAACTCTCGACAACATACGATCGGACACCACAACGAATCCTAAATTATCTTGAAGTGGTGTACAGCATCCGGCCAAAAGAAATGTCAGAACGTCCGGCTCCTCGAAGACGCTTCCCATCATCCGCCACCCTCCTTCGGGGCCAACCAGCACGATGGCTGGTCCCAACCAGTACCCGGCGCGCTCCCTCTCCCCCGAGCATGAAGAAGCCCCCGTGGCGGCCCAAGAGGAGGTCAGGAGGAGGAGGAAGAGGAGGTCAGGAGGAGGAGGAGGAAAAGGAGGAGGAGGAGGAGGAGGAAGAGGAGGAGGAGGCATGGTCGGAGGCCGCCAAGATCCGCCAAGACACAGGCGGCGAGCTCCAGAGCAGCCCGCGACAGCTGAAGAGGCGGTGTGTGCTCCAGAGCCCCACAGAGGCGCGGAGAGGCTCTTACGAGAGAGGCCCGAGGAGAGACCTCAAGAGAAGCCCCAGAGAGAAAGCTTGGAGGAGGGGTTTATTCCAACGACGTTGATGACTCTTGGGTTTACACTGGCCCTCCTCCCCCTCCCGGAGAGCCCCACGCCCGGAGATCGGCTTCGGCTTCGCGCTCCGTGTCGTGCGGGCGAGGCGAACCGAAGAAGCCGCGCGGGCGGGCGGCCGGGTCAGGCCACAGACCCCCTCTTCCGGTGGGCCGGCGTGCCTGCAGGGGTGTGCCGCCGTGGTTCTAGTAGAGGATCGACTACAGAATTGATTTACCCCAGAATTGATTCTCCATCGAATCTACGACGAAGACTTAGAATGTTCAGCAATCTACTGAGACTTGTGCAAATTTTCTCAGATTCGACGAGAAAACCAATTTTGGGGTAAATCAATTCTAAAGTCGATCCCCTACTCGAGTGGTGTGCCGCCGCGGTGTCCCGTCGGTGTCCGCGGGCGGTGGCCAAGGCTGTCCCGCCGTGGTGTCCCGTCGGTGTCGTCGGCATCGTCGTCTTGCATCGTCACCGCCTCGTGAGCGCATCACCAGCATCGCCACAATCACGATCATTACGGTTGTCCTCAGTTGGTGTTCTTTCCCCCCCCCTGCTTCCTCATCACCCGAAAGATGGTCGTATGGGTCATATAACGGGCTTTGATTTGTGCAGGTCGGGCATTCCTGACTCTTCGGCCTCCATAGCGGTTCCAAGACAGCCCAAGACGTCCCACCCCCGATGGTCTCAAGACAATGAACAACAGAGCAAGGACCATCCGAGAGCCACCAAGATGGCACCGAGAAATACCTAAGAGAAAACCACTTCCCAGAAGGCTGCAAAGAGGCCCCACGAGGGCTCCAACAGTGGCCCCGCCGACTGCTGCTCCAAAGATGTATTCCAGAACTCCCCTGGCTGTGCCCCCCACGAGTCCTTCAAGCAGCCCATAGGAGAGCCCAAGGGGGGCTGTAAAATTAGGTTGGGCATGTCATCATACAGGCGGATTTTTGAAGGAAAAACAATAGTCAACAAATATTCAAAGTTACCAGAAACAAATGATAGAAAAATCGTCCCCATATTTTTTGGCTATGTTCGAATACTCCTCATGTAGAGGAACATCCCCGACTTACTGCTAGAACTGCAACCTTCCCCTCTCCGGCAAACTCAAATATCATCCTCCAGATACCAAGAGCCCCGCGATGACGTCCTGGACCGCACAACCCTTCGCCACGACGTCCTCGCATCTTCGGCGCGGCCACAACTACTGCGCAACCTCAGCGGTTGCCAGCTCTTCGCTGGCTCCCCCTGGGCAACTCGTCCGATTCTGTGTCTCGGCGCGCGAGGCCCCTCGCGGCCCCAAACGACGGCCCGTTCCCGCTGCCGAACCGTGCTCGGGTGCCTTGCGAAACGTGGCCGTGCTACCGATCGGCGCTCCGGTGGCCGCGATCCCTTGTCAAGGACGGAGCTCCGAGCTCCCGGAAGCCAGGACCCCTTTGGGAACGGCAGATCGCGCTCGCGCGCCCGAGGCCACGATCCCGCGCAACATGCGGGAGGGGCCCGCGCTCTCAGGGCCACGACCCCTCGCCGCAGGGAGGCTGGATCGGTGCTCCCATGGCCACGATCCCTGGCAGATCAGCTGCGACATGCTTTTGCTGATAGTGCTTCGAGCATAGCCAAAACATATGGGGACGATGCTTATATATATATATATATATATGTGTGTGATACTGTTTGAATGTTTGAATGCTCCTGCTGATGGTGCTTCGAGCATCGTTCCTCCATCTTGTCGCGTCAGAGGTCTGGCTTGAAATGCTCCAGGGTCTGTCCTCGAGCCCTCCTGGACGCCTCTTGGGCTGTCTTGGCGGCGGCCCGAGAGCCCAACATGATTGAAGCACCCTATGCGCTGTAAGATGCTCTTGCCGTCGCTCGGACGTCCATTTCCCGTGCATGTGTGGGTTTCGTGCGTGCTTTTTTGCTCGATAGTCCAGGATGGTCCTCGCACGTCCTTTACAACTACCGTAACCATTTTCCCGCTGCGTTGCGACACTGTCTGGCGCCCTTTATACGCCCATTACCAGGCAAGCACGTTCAACCAACAGGTCTCGTTTGCGAAAAGAGGAAACGCACACACACACACACATCTATACATATATATATATATATATATATACATGTATGTATTGCGCACTTGCCTCGGGCTTTCGCCTTGAACTTATCTCCGCGGAGAAATCATGTGTCTTATGTGCCGCATCCCTGGGCGCCGATCCTCGTCGTCCTCTAAAGAGACGATGTGCGCCTTCTCCTCTGGGGTCGTGGGTGTCATGCCCATGGCCTCGAAGATCTCCATGGCCTTCGTCGTCGCCTCTGACCTGTCCCACTTTCCAGCCATGCCTCGGGAACCGAATTCGCGCGTGCGGGTGCATCTTGTTTTTTGTCGGACGAACGGAGGGGACCACGCGCCCCCCCCCGCCTCCTCCTCCTCCTCCTCCTCCCCCTCCTCCTCCGTCTCCTCCTACTCCTTTTCCTCTTCCTCCTCCTCCTCCCCCTGTTCCTGCTCTTCCTCCTCCTCCTCCTCCTCGTCATCGTCCACCTCCTCCTCATCCACCTCCACCTCCTCCTCCGCCTCCTCCTCGTCCTCTCCATTCCCGTCCTCCTCCACCTCCTCCTCCTCTTTCCAATGGCTCTCTCTTTTCCTGCACCAATACATGACCGAAGGGGCTGCTCATGATGATAAGTAACGAAAATCCAACACTGCGAACACAGGGGCACCGTGAATATAAACGGAACAGCGCATATATACCAATATGCGTGCACCTGCCACAGCGGCGATTGCCTGCATACTAGAATAACATTCACAACAGCCAGCACCCAGCCAAATTCACAGCGTGGTGCAACAGGTTGCACAGACAGCCTGACTGCAAGAAAGATGCGCGTCTAGTTGGTGCAATGATTACCACGTCTCTGTCTCAGTATACTCGACAGTGCGTCAATAATCAGCTGCGGTGATACACGTCTGCGGACGGTCCAACCAATGCCGAGCAGAACAGGACGCATGGTCTGCAAGGTCGGGCCCGTCCAGACGATCTGGGGTGCAATCGGCTATCGGCGGCGAAGCTCCACTGTGTCAGGCGCGACCTCTGGGCACCTCGCCTGGCCCTCCGTCGATCTGTGACGGTAGCAGCAAACCCCTAGCCGTCCACAGGGCGGGGAGGGACCCCCGCAGTCGGATGCTCGTCCAACCCGCACCTCGGCCAACTCCTCGTCCTCGGAAGTCACGGTCTCCAGGGAGCTGAAGACCACCGCGCCGCACGTGCAGCGGAGGCCCGGAAGCAGATCGGCAGAGGCAGCCAGTGGCTCCCAGCGTCCCGCTGCGGGGACGAGTTCTGGGGCCTCAGCTCGCAAAGTAACGCAGTCGTCTATCGCCGACGCGTCGCCATTGGCATGCAGCCGCGCCTCCAAGTGAGGGCCTCTCTGGGCTCGCCTCAGCGCCGCTGCTCCAGCCGTCGCCACGTAGATGCCGTCGGCATTCGCGTGCATGGCGACGTTGGTGCGCAGGATATCGAGCCATGACGGCGCGCGCCCAGCCAGCTTTGCCTGCAAGGCGGTCTTCGCCAGGCTCATCCGCGCGCTGGCTCCCGGCACCGTCTCTCGGTGAGACGGCGCGCTGCTGGTCCAGGGTTGGGGGGCGCTGGCGCCGACGGGGCTGGGCTCGTCACTGGGCATGCTGGCGCCCTCCTTGCAGGCGGTGTAGCCCGTGGTTCTCTCTTGCTCTTCCGCGGTCGAAGCGTCCGCTGGATCTGTAGGTGCGGAGTCCTGGTCGATCTTATCATCGATGGCCTGGTCGTCGCCCAGGTTCGGCAGAAGTTGCGCGGTCGCGACGTCCCCCTTCCACCGCTGTTGACGCGCAGGATCTGCAGCTGCGCCTGGGGCTGGCTGCGCCGCCGCACGTGCAGTTGCTGCCGCCGCTCAGGTGCGGCGGGCTGCAGGGCCCTTCCAGCGCCTCTCGCTCGCCCTGTCCAGCCGCGCTGCGCCGTGAGATGTTGCCGCCATAATCTTGGGCTTTTGCGCCGCGGGGGCCCCGCCTGGCACATTGCATCCATTTCCCTAATGTCCGCATCCCCGCCGCGCTTGCTCTTGGCAGTCAGGGTCGCCGCCGGCAACTTATTATTTACGTGCTGCTTCTGCTTCCTAAGCTCGTCGGTATTCCTCGTCTTGGGCCCTAGCCACTTGCTGTCGGTGTTCGGCGTCGCGTAGTTGTTCTTCGACGGCGACGCAGCGATCCACTTCGTCTCCCGCTGGCATGCCGAGCTCATTCCACAGCTCCGCCGCGTCTCGACGCGTTTGCTGCGTCCGCGCGAGCCCGCGTTCAGCTGCCTCTGCTTCGTGCTGTCAGCGTAACTGATATTGCTGGTGGCGTGTCCGCTCCTCTTGATGCCGTGGCTCATGCTTTTGCTGCCGAACTCTTTGCGCCTCGTCTTGCGTTCGTTGCTGCTCAGCCATCTGATGTTCATCTCACGCACGGCCTCTTTGTCGGGTAATAGCTGTTGCTCGACCGTCTTCGGTTGATGAACGCACTGCTGCTGCATCTGCTGATCATGCCAGTCCTTGCCTGATACCTGCTGGCGCTGCCGTTGCATCCATCCCCCATGCAATTCCAGCCGCCGCCGGCAGTGCGTTTGCGCGGGGGCCCAAGGAGGTGGCAGTCATGTCCGCGCTCATCTGCTGATGTTGCTGTTGGGGCCCTTCAGCGGTGGCTTTGTGAAGGACTCCCACGTCGCGCGTCGCGGTCATGCGCGCCTCCTGTTGGTTTTTCATTTGCCCGCCGAGGTACTTCGCGCGCTGCGCAGTCTCGCGCGAGGCGTTTGGTTCGATCGCGGCGCGAGGCTGGCCCCGGCGGAACTGGGACTGCACTTGTTGTCGGTCAGTTTTTCTGGTCGGTGCTGCAATTCCCACCGACGATGCCGCCGCCCCTCTGCTAGTGCCCCCGGTTCCCCATGGCTTTGTGATGGGATGTATCCGTGGCCCCAGGCTATTCTCCCGCCTCCGTCTCCGATGTCCCTTCGTCGCCATCGGCGGCCTCCTCCTCGCCCTCGTCGAGCTGCTCCAAAATGTCGCTGACGTACCGGTCGGTGGCGTTGATCTCCTCTTCCGCCGCCGCAATGCTGGCTCTCGAGGTCGTGGTGCTGCTTCTCCGCCCCTGCTATTTCCATGACCTGACGGCCCTTCGCCCCCGTCTCGGCGGGCCGCTTGCGCCGAGGCCTGACGGACTCAAGGCGGAGATCCCCGTCGTCCGCTTCTCTACGCTACCACCTTCTGCCCAGGTCGCAAGTGCGACTCCTGCCGCGAGTCTCATTTTCTTTCCCATCTTGTGCTTGCATGCTCGTTGCTTCGCTGGGTCTTGCGGCGGCGTCTCGCGCGCGCCCTCGCGGTCGGCGACCGCGGTCTCCTGCGCTGGCGGGATCGAGACTGATATTCTGCGCTCTTTTGTCTGATTTCGGCGCATTTGGCCTCGCCGTGGGCGGCTTCTTGCCGCGCTCGACGCCGCGCCTGGCGCGGGGCCGGGCGAGCGCGTTGCGCGCGCCCTGGATGCCCGAACGTCGGCCCATGGGCATGTCATCTTTCTGGAGCTCGGCCGAGCTAGTCGCTGCGCTGACGCCGCGAGACCCGCGCGGTGGCTCTCTTATTTCGTGGGCACCCGCGCCGGGCTTTCTCGCCTTTCCCGGGCGCGGCGTCTCGCGGCGCCTGGGGCGCCTGGGGCCCCTCGCGCGCCGCCCCCGCGCGGCCGCGGGCGGCGGGCAGGGGGGCCGACGGCGGCTCCGGTCGCGAGATCGGCGCGCGCCGCGGCGCGCGAGCCCCGCCTGCGATCGCGGCCGAGGCCTGCGATCGCGAACGAACGGGCGGCAGGCGATCGGCCTCGATCGATCGATCGGGGCCCGCGGGCCCGCGCGAGGCCGCGCGGGCCCCCCCCCCTTCCACGTCGAGCCCCCGATCCTCCATTTCCCCCGCCATGGGCGCGCTGGTGCCCGGCCGCGGCGGCGCGCTATTGGCGGGCGGAATCAGCGAGGCGATTCGACGATTACGACGGGGGCGCGGGGGGCGGCGGCGAGCGCGCGAGCAGACGGCCGGGGCGGCGGGCCGCGCGGCCGTGGGGCGCGAGCCGCCAGGTTGGGCGGGCAAGCGATCGCGCGCGGGGTGCGGCAGGGAAACGGGGGGGAGGTGTCGGCGGCGATGGGGGGGCGGGGCGGCCTGCCCGGACCTGCCCTCGCCTGTTGTCGCCCAGGTCAGGCGCGCGGGTCTTGGCACGGGCGGCCGATTGCCGCCGCTTCGCGGCGCCTCCTCGCCCCGTCGCAGCGCCCCCTCCGCCGGGACAAACGCGTCGCAGCGCTCCTTCCGCCGAGACAAACGGGTCGCGGGTGCGCGGAAGACGCGCGTCGTCCAGGGGCGGGCGCGGGATGTTTCGGCGGCCCAAGCGGTCTTCGCGCTCGCGGGGCAGTTCGCGCCAGCGCTGCGCGAGAAGGAAGGGGCGACCCCGATGTCGATCGCTGAGGGCCCGCGCCCTCGCCGACCCTTCGCGGCCTCGGCCCCGCTGCGGCAGGGGGCGCGCGAGCCCGCGCAGTCAGGCTGCGCGCGGCCGCAGATATGGCATGGCTGGCAGAAGCCAGCGGCGCCGAGGCGCACTCGGGGCGCTGCGGCGTCGGCCCCCCTTTGCCGACTCAGAACGCGGCCTCTTGGGGCTGGCGTCGGGGTGACTGAGGCCATCTAAACGCCGCGGCGCCGGGTCGTTCCCGGCCAGCGCGCGACGCGTGCCAAGCTCGAGGCGCTTATCCGCGTCGAAGCGGGCCGGGATGGCCAGCTGGCGCTGGGCGCGTCCGCGAGGAGTAAAATCAAGGCGCTCGTCGCATTCGCCCCCGTCGGGGGACGATGCCGCTGCCCAGTTGCCGGGGCTGGCCGTGCCATCTGCAGGCATCGACGTTGCTAAACGCACTGCTTTTTAGGAGGGGCCCACGTATTTCCACGCCTCGTCTGCGAGTGGATCCAGGAGCTGGGCGCAAAGCTGGGGGTCGGAAGTGGTGGCCCGACCGTGGCGGCGGCAGCCTGCTGCGTCCTCCGCGCGGGAAGCTTCGGCGGCGCTTCCCCCCGCTCCGTCGGCGCAGCGGCTCCGCCCTCGCTTGGTGGCGCAACGTAGGTGGAACGGCCGCGCGGCATCTGAAGGGGCGCGCGGGGTGCGGCGGTGGATTTTGGCGGATGGGCGGTGGGGCCCAGGGCAGGCCCGTTGTCGAGACCATGCCCGCCGTCCTCGCGCGGCGAAGATTGGGGCCGGCGGCGGGGTCGTCGCGGCTCTGCGCGCGACGCGCGCCGCTGGCGCCGCCTGCGACTATGTCGCCGACGATGGGGGGGGCAGCAGGGCGTCGGTGTCCAGCGGCGGGTGCGAGCGCTCTGTCCCGACGGCCGTAGGGCGCCGCAAATGGAGTCGGCGCATGCTGCGTGCTGTCTGCGGCGGCAATCGCGCCGCGCATGTTGGCGACTTTGGTCTGGCCGGTGTGAATTGCACTGGGGAGTGCTGTATGAAACCGCCAGACGTGCGCAAGCCTCAAGCCAAACGCCACGGGCGCCATGTGGTGCCCGTTGCAGAAGGGCCATCTATATGGGGCGGCGTGTGAGTCGGGAAGCTACTGCTGCAACGCCGTGCTCCCGGCGCGTCTGGGCACCCGGAAGCCCGCGCACGGGCTCGAACCCAAACGACAGTAAAGGGCGGGCCGCGGGCCGGCTGGGCGTTGGCCACAGCAGCAGGCGGCATGGGTGGGCGAGCAGTGGCGGCGGCGGGGCGCTGGCGCCACGGGTTCGACACGCCGAAGGGGGGCGGCGCCTGGCGCAGCGTCGAACCCAACGGGTGGGACGGAAGCGGCTCGCTGGCGCACGTGGGGCGCGCATCCACCGGCGTTGCTGGCCCCTGGCTGCAGGGCGCCAGCAGTGGGCGCCATCCGTGCGCGGGCGTCGTCTGCGCCCGAAGACCTCCGTGGGGTTGGGGCAGCAGCTGCGAGGGGTGCGACTCTGGTGCAGCAGGGCTCCGCGCCTCCGCTGATCAATGCACCGGTCCTGCGAGACGCACCAGCAAAAAGAAACGGCGTCGATCTCTACATGTCGCTATTCTGGGTTTCTAAATAACCGGGGGGTGCCCACCCGACGGGAGTCAACGTCGCCTCATCGTCGCGCCGCGACGGAGTTCGGACCGCCTTCGGCGCGCGGTGGCTGCTCGCGACGGGGGTCGATGTGGGGCTGTCGGCGGGGGTGACGCCCCCCCGACGCTTATTAAGAAACTCGGAAGCTCGTCCGAACCAAGCTCAAACAACGGATCGTCGCCTTCCGTGCGGTTGCGTCAGGTCTGGTGCCCAGGGTGAGCCGCGAGCCCCAATGCCCTCACCAGCCTCCAGGACCGTGCTTCGCGCCGCGACGCGTGGTGTTGCTGTTGTGTCTGCAGTCGCCCTCGCGATCAAGATGCATTGCCTGCACACTGCCAGCATTTAGGCCAGCGCACCATACCACACACGGCCGAGAAGGCCACTCACCCAGAGCGCGATCTTGACTCATGCGGACTGGCCTCGTACACGGTAGCTGCACCGCTGGCAACGAACACGCGTTCGCGCTGCGCAGAACTCGCTGGGCCCATGCCGCGCGCCTCCGTGAAACCATCAACGCTGTCGCGTGTGGTGCGTTCGGCATCAGGCCCCATGCCATCGAGAACGCTGGCATCGCAGGCCGCGCACATGTTGATGCAAACGCCGGCTCGGGGATCTCCTGATCCGGGTCAGTCCAGACCCGGGTCAGTCAGGCTTTCCAGGATCCTGATCCTGCACCCACGCCCGGGTCAGTGCAACCCTGGCCCTGCCCTGGCCATCGCTCGGACGTCCGTGCCGCGCGCCTTTTTCGGTTTCGCGCGTGTCTTTTTGGTCTGGGTGGCCAAAACGGCTCCTCGATGGTCCTCGCCGGGAAAAAGAAAGACACACGTCAGAGCGATGCCAAGTGCAGGACCCTGCAAGGCCGGGCCTTCTGACTGACCCCCGTTTGCATGGACCCCCGTCTCCTAAGCCCCGATCGGCGTGGGCACCATCGGTGCTGGTCCACCCCTCCGTCCCTCCTCCTCCCTTCTCCCGTTCCCCGTCCGCCCTCCTCCTGCCGCGGCCCCTGCTCTCCCTCCGCCCTTACACTGCCCCTCCTCCCCGTCCTCCGCCGTCTCGTCCTTCTCCCCTCTTCTCTCCTGTTTCTCCTCCTCCTGTTGCTCGGGCTCCTGCTGTTGTTGCTCGTCGGCGTCGCTGCTGTCGTTCTTCTCCTCCTCCTCCTCGTCGTCGCCGTCGTCATCGCCAGCGTCTCTTCACAAAGAAAGCTGGACTGCGCATGGCCCGATTGTCACGTGCGGAACGCGCGGAGGCCAAACGCTGGACACGCACGCGGGGGACCAGCGTGCCCGTCGACACGAAGACCGCGCGCTGGAGAGACGTGCGGCCAAACGTGTATCTACAGTAGGGGCCCGACCACAAGAAACCTTCCACGAGAAACCCAACCCTGAGACCCCAGGACGTCCATGGATTTTTGGTGTGGAAGCGTCACGCCTTCCGTAGCATCGAAACCCAAAAGACCCAGGGCACCCCGGAGGCAAGCAGGGTGTCTCCTGGCACGGGCCCCCACTGCATCTGACTCTCGCCCCTGCCGGCAACGCCATTCGTATCCAGCTTCCTGGCTTTTTGCTTGCTTCTGCCTGTCCCGCATGTGCCATCGCGCCCGCGCGTACCGACGGGCGCTCCCTGGTGCCTGCCCCTTGCGAGACCGCACCGTCGCCCACGGCCGCCTGGCCCCTGCCTCTCGACCGCTTTTCTCCGGAGACGGGCTGCATGGGGCCGCTTCCCCCGGGAAGAGCCCCGGGAGCGCCCCGGGAGCGCCGCGGGACTGCCCCGGGAGCGCCCCAGAGCGACGTGCATCGGAAGGGCGCCGGGAGCACCACGGAAGAGTATACCCGGCGGGAGCGCCCGGGGAGCGCCCCCGGGCGGCAGTCGCTCGCCGAGGGTGGGACGCTCGGGGATGGGAACAGGCCAAAGGCCTCCTGCTCGGAGGGGATCTCGCCGCGTCGCCGATGCCTCGGCGGTGCGGCGCGATCCTCCGCCCCCATCCACTCCGACCCCATCCAGGAGGCCTGGACGAAGGATTCCTCTCTCCCGGGTGCCTCCCTGCAGGATGCGGAACATCCACTCGTCCAGAAACTGCTGGATCTGCAGGGCGATGGTGCCCAGCTGGTCCTCGGCCTGTCGGGGGGAGCCCAGGTCGGACGCCGACATGGCCTCGGCTTGTGGCGGCCGCGCCGCGGGGCGCCCAGCTGCAGAGCCCCGCGGGCACCGTGTGCTCCTCTCTTGCGAGGAGGGGCGCCGCTCGGGGCTCAGCTTGAGCCGGGTGGGCCATGGATGAGTCGAGCAGACGACTAAAAATAAGACTACGAATAATGATAAGAATACGAATCAGAATACTGATAAGAAGGCACACGGACGAGACCCATGCCTAGATGGTATCTTGGTTGAAAATCGCGTGCGCGCGTGCAATCACAGCGCGTGCCAGGACATTCGGTGTGGCCGGACACGCCAGCGTCAAACTGACTCGACAGGCCGGGGGCGCGGAGGAGCACGGGGAGGAGGAAGAGGACGAGGGCGGGGAGGAGGGGACTCTACACCACATCAAGCCTACCAATACCACATCACTTTCTCTTACCGTGCTTGGCGATTAATGCTGAGTTTGTCCGAGGACTTGCCGGGCCACCTTTTCTAGCGCAGGGCCACAACGTGCATGCACATTGCATTTGTCTGCGAGCACGCGTGCATTACTGAAGCCCGCTGTGAACTAGAAGGTCGTCTGCGCCTTTGTCCGAACTCGAAGAATCGCGAGTGCCCGCTCTGGAAAGCAACGTGGTAGGGTAGCGGTTCGTGGAGCAAGGTAGACAGGTCGCCGTAGAACAACAGCTGCCTGGCGAGCGCGCGATTGTTTACACATTGTTGGTTTGCTCCGCGCCGCGCTTCTGAAGGCGCCTCCCTGGCGCCGTACTAGCGCCTCCTAGGCTCCTCCGAGGCGCCTCCTGGCGCATCCGAGGCTGGACGCAGACAAAACGCGTCGCGGCCGTGCGTGAGTTTAGAGGCTATCTGGAGGTTCAACAAGTGACCCCTCTTATCATATCTACTGATCTTGGCATGCTTCCAGGCACCTTGCAACGCATCGAAGGACGCGCAAGTTTCAGGTTTCACCCACCCGCCTGGCAACTAAGTCCCTGTTTCCCCACCGTTAGACCAGGTAGGCCGTCGAGGGCGGCATGCCCTGTGGCGCGTGGATGTCCACGTCGTGCCAGATTCGTGAATGTATAGTCTTGTTCCATCTGGGTTCCCACCCGTGCGTGCGATCTCTGAAGATCAACGTGTCCAGGGAGGAATGCAAACGTCCGATATGATTCGATACAAACGCCGTGTCTTCAGCACACGCCGCGGCGGCATTGAGCCTGTCAGCGCGCGCGTGTCCAAACTCCGATACCCGTCCTGTTCGGACGCCCCATCAGGAAGCCCAGCATGATGATCGAAACGCACGGGCTCAGAACACACCCCTGCGCGATGCTGGACGATTGCGCGCGTCGCTTGCTATTGTCATGCCCGTGTTTCCCATCGGACGCACGACCGCCGTATGTGGCACCGATCGTCTTGATGCGCGATCGGTCCCTTCGAGCCGGCTTAAGCAATTAACAGCGCGGAAGGGTCCGCCCGATCGAAGGCCGGAGACCAATCTAACGAGACGGAGAACCCGTAGTTGTTCTGTGCCGGCCCACGCTTGCTCGGTGTATCTGAGGTCCGTGAATCATGAAAAGCGCGCCCCTGGCGCTGCGCAGCCTTAACGAACTGGTTTGGCGGGAGGCGTTCCTCGGCGCCGGCACCTGCCTGCGGAATCTGCTTCTGACGCCAGCACTGGTTCATCAAGTTCAAGATAATGGCGCATGTATCGTCACTGCCACGCAGAACTTTCCAGACAAAGGATGGTGTCAGGTTTGCCTGCTCTCCCCGCCAGGAGGTTGCCGAACACGCTGCGCAGCTCAGCTGCTGTGAAGTCCTCCGCGGAGAGACCCAGCTCCCGCGCGGGCCTCCGTCCAACCGATTCGAAGGGGTCGCGACGGCTGGGGCGGAGGCCTCTGCACATCGAAGTCGAATGTTGCCTGTTCTGTGCGTCTTTTGCCACCAAGACGCTTTAGTCGTTTTCAGAAAGGTTCCCTTGCGGCAAAGCCCCTCTGTTTTTGACTTGCCGATTGCTCTCCCAACTACCATCTGCTCTATCCTTCCGGGCAGACTGGCGAACCTGTCGGTTAGGTTGCTTTTCCAAAGATCTGGCGCGATGTCCGCGCATAGTTTCTCAGCCCGCTCAACTCCAAAGCGCTCCTGCGGATCCAAGGCCTCTCTGCCAGCGCCTGCCAGCCCTCCCGGTGTTTCTTTCTGCAGCAAACCTCCAGACACCGAACCACACATTGCGTACAGTCGGGGCTGATTGGAGAGGCCACGCGAGAGGACACCCGACCCTCCCGAAGGCCACACTGGAACAATAGCGCAGACGAGATGGGTCGCGACACGCAGGACACGACGGCATCGATGATGTGGCAGGATCGACCTGCTGATCAGCCTCGCCTGTGTGGTCGCCGGCGTCCGGCGGCGGCAGCCCCGCTGCCGCCGCCCCGACCGACGCGCCAGCACAGCACTCTGCCACCGGCGGCGGCAGGCGCCCACTGCGGAGATGCCAGAGGCCCGAGCTCGGACGGTGGCCGCTCGGCTCCGTCTCTGACGTGCCCACGCCAAGAGTTCAGTCGGGCCTGTCCCTCTGCAGGAGCAGTGTTCAAACATCGTAGCAAAAATAGTCGGGGGGCGATCTTGTGGTATTTTGGGGTATCTCTTGAACATGTTCCTTTGTTAGTCCAAAATCCGCCTGTAGGAGGACATGCCCGACCTAAGCCAGGTGTCCGGAGCTGCCAGGACAGAAGGAGGATGACGGGCGCAACCAAAAGGGCGGCCCGACGCCACCGATCGAACCATGTGCTGCCAACGTCTGTGAATTAGCATCAATCTCCGCGAGCTTCTTACACGTGCTTTCGCTCGTGGCATGAGCCCAAGTCGTAGCATGATCGTGGCGTCGGTGACGCACGCGGGGTCGCCGAAGGAGGGCGGCCCGATCACTCGAGCTGGGCGAAAGGGGGGGATAGCAAAGGGGGGGGTGAGAATCAGCTCACGCAGCTGATTTTCCTGGTGCCTCCCGGCGCCGGGAGGCGCCAATCTATCGAGGAATGGGCCCGGCGGCGGGGCCGAAACCAGCTGCATGCAGCAAATCTCGTACCCCCCCCTTTCCCTATCCCCCTCCTTTGGTCCGGCCCGAACCACAGACGCTTCCTCGCAAGACATCGGCGGGAACCGGGCGGTCACATAACCGAAACGATGGCCGGGCCATGCGGTCCGCACCGGGCCGCGGCGGCATGCAGCTCTGCGAGGAAAGCGAAGGCCGGCCGCCGCGCTCGCGGATGCTTCCGAGGGCGCGCCGCGCGCCCGAGGAGCTCAGCGGCTCCGCCAACGACCACCGCCAAGCGGCATGGCGGCCAGCGGCTACGACGGGCACGAAGGCGCGTCGACGCGCGCCCGAGAGGCCAGCTGCCCGACGTGGCGCACGGCGTGCAGAAGAGCATCCTCGCGCGCTTCTGCGGCCAATTGCAGTGGGCACCGCTGCAGATAGAGCGCCACGCCCTGTGCCCTTCTGGTGGCCTCGGGCGACTGCCAGAAACCGACACCAGCAACCGAAGCCGAGACGGAGGCCACCGAAACGGCCCGCTCCAGAAATCAGCGAAACGAGGTTCAGCGGGCTGACGGGGCCCGAGATGCACCAAGAATCCTGGATCCCGATGGTCTCGCAACTGCATCTCGGCCCTCTTCGTCGCGAAAGCATCAGCTCACTGAGCAACTGCTGCGTCAGGCCCACAGCCCTGTGCACGCCAAGGACCTCGAGGACATCGGGGACCTCGCGAAGCCGCAGGCGCGGCCCTGCCAATACAGCAAAGCTGGTGACGACGCGGGGTTGCTGGACGACACCTCCGACGCCGACGCCAAAATGCGCGGCAAATGGCAAACTGTGCTGCAACGGACTGGCGGCGAAGCCAGCCGGACAGACAGCGCCGGCCGCCACCACCGCAGCGGTCACCGCCGCCTGCAAACAGCGGGATGTTGCCATCGCCGTCCTTCCGGGCTTGGTTGTCAGTTCAGGCTGCATCAGGGCTCGACCTCAACTGTGTTCTGACGATTCGTGGACCATTTTGGTTTTGATGTCGTTTTGTAAAGGCTGATTGAAGACAACACGAGGGAAAACGAAAACAAAACGAAGACGAAAAACATGTTTTAGGGCGATACCTGGGCTGCATTTGGATGGACGAGGTCACCGACCAGTGGAAGGTAGCCACAGGCATGTCCAACTGGACGCAGCCTACCGCGCCGCCAGGCGGCTGTGCTTGCGAGGTCGACAGCGCCGCTCAGCTCACTTTGCGGCGAGCTTGTGGCCTGGAGTGAGGAGCGACGGGCCAGGCGAGAGGTGCGAGCAGTGAGGAGTGCGAGGAGCAGGGAGCAATGAGCGAGGCGAGAGAGAGGGAGAGAGAGAGAGGGAGAAGCGGGGAACGAAGGGCTCGGAAGAGCGCGGGAAATCCCAACGGAGCCGCCAAGGTGAGCTCCGCGGACTGCCGTCAACGACATCGAAGTCGTGCGCAGGGGTGATCATCGCTTGCCTGCTTCACTGCTCGCCTGCTGCACTGCTTGCGAAGCCACTATCCTGGTGACCTGGTAACTTTTGGCTGGATCGCCTGCTATATGTTTTGCTTGGTTCATTGTGTCCGTCAGCTCGCTACCGCTTGGTGATGCTTGGCACTGGTTGCAGCACCTTCTATATACATGCTGCTCTGTCTCGCCGCTACGGGCAAGTGTTTGCCGTTGCGTGCTTATGCTTGATGCGGCTTGGAATTGTGCTTCTGTCAGATGGCCGATACTGCATGTGCGCTTCTTTGTGCTGCCGCTTGCCGCCGCAATTGCATGCTATTGGTAATGATCGCCGATGCTGTTCGCTACCGCTGCTTATGACTGCAAGGTGCTGCTGCTGCTGCCGCTGCTTGCCGCGCGCTGCTGCCCACTGCATGCTGTTGTAGCCGCTTGCTGTTTGCCTCGTGCCGCTTTGGTCTTGCAGGGCGCGGCTTCCCGCTGCTCCTGCTGGCTGGTGCAGCCTGCTGTTCTTGACAGGACCTAGGATCAAGTCGGGCCTGTCCCCCCTACAGGGGTATTTTGGAGGAAACATTAAACATACCCCAGAAATGCCCCAAACATGCCCAACCATAGTCAAAAAATGGTCCCCATAATATTTTTCAACTATTTCTGAACCTTCCTCCTGCAGAGGGACAGGCCCGACCTGAATCTCTAGGAGCGGGGAGTCGGGATCGAAGCGAAGGAGAAGCGAAGAGCGACCCAGAAGAGGACAGACGACCCAGAAGAGAGCAGCGAGACGGCCGAGGAGAGCGGGGCGAGGAGGGACGAGGGAGCGCCGAGGAAGGAGGAGCGGCATGAGGGAGGCAAGGGGCCAGGAGAGAGAAGCGAGGAGCAGGCAGCGAGGAGTCATGGGCGAGGAGAGAGGAGCAGAGCGAGGCTCGAAAAAGAGGAGGGGAGCCTCAGAAGCGGCCAACACACCCTGGCCGCGGCGCGCGTGCGACCGAACATCCGGTCTCCTCTCGGGCCGCTCACGGGGCCCTCTTAAGGGCCTTCTCTGGCGGGCTTCCAACGGGTCACCCGGCCGCCCCTCGGAGTCTCTGGGCAGTGCCGTGGGGAGGGTTGTCGCTTGGGGGAGGGGGCCCCTGGGCCAAGGCCCTTTGGGGCCCTCCTGGGGCAGCCGAGGGGGCCACCATTGGAGGAAGATTCAGAAATAGTCAGAAAATAGTCTGAGGACCACTTTTCGATTATTTTTGGGCATGTTTGAATATTTTGGTGGTATTTATAATTTGTCCTCCAAAGTCCCCCTGTAGGGGGACAGGCCCGACTTAACGCCAGTCAGCAAGCGGTGGGGTGCACCGGGAGCGAATGGAGGCACGAAGGCGAAAGCGAAACGAGAGCGAGTAGGGGGGCCGAGGGGGACAGGCAGCGCGATCTGGGCGATGCTGCACCGCTGGCGATTGTCATGCTGCCTGCGGCGCAGGGATCCGACGTGTGGGGAGCAGCGTTTATGCTTTTCGTTTGCCGGGTGCCAGCTAGGGCATGCACAAGGAGGGCATGCTAGGCAAGGAGGAGGAGGAGGAGGAGGAGGAGGAAGAGGAGGAGGAGGAAGAGGAAGAGGAGGAGGAGAGCTTGCCTATCCTGAGGAATGTCATGATTTCCGTTTGTCGGGTGCCCTCGGCGGAGCCGGGGCCCTCCGTCGGCCAACGTGAACAGAACATCCCGGGACACCCTCCCCGGGATCCACGAGAGCATCCAACAGGCACGAAGATACCCTCCCCGAAGCGACCTCGATCTTACATCTTGGTGTGACTGTATACACTCCTCTGCCAGATCGTAGGATTGAGAGTCATCGACACCGCATCCCCTCCCTCCGCTCTCCCTCTTTCACCGCTCCTCTCTGCCGACCAATGTAACCAACAATTTTGCCAGCACGCGCGACGGTTCCAAGCTACACAACAATGTGGCGCCCCGCCCTTCTGAATACCAAACCGCCTACCTGAACGCGCAGCCACTGATTCGAGAGGTCGTCTGCCATGTGTTGTTTGTCCTCTGAGCTCCACATAAGCCAAAAATCAATCATCGCACGCACGAGGGCGTTCTGAACACAAGCGGCGGATCCGTGTGCCGCTTCCAGATACTCCATATTTCATCGCGTGCGCCTGCGTTGACAAGTGGCACGTGGGGGCAGCAATTGGTCTGTTCGAGCGCACTCGCCAGCTTTGCCCAAACCACTCCCAGGACTTGCGGGATTCCACGTTTACACGTCGGTCGGAATAAGTAGGTAAAACATGAAGTAGGAAGGCGGACCAAGTAGATTGGGTTCAGGCCCTCCCAGAGAATAACAGAACACATCAAACTCAGATCGACTCTTGAAATAGTAAGAAAGCGCTTGAAATGGATTGGGATCTGGGAGTCCAGACATACCTACTTTCAACGACCGGCGAGTATGATCGAACACGCCAGTTTCTACATCAACAAATTTCATGTGCGGCGCGTTTCCTCTATCTCTGAACCAGTTCCTATACGCCGCGAGGCCCCGACCCCGCTCCTCTCCTCATACGTTCAAGGTGCTGGTTGCAGAGAGCTCCAGAGTCAGCAAACGCGGCGGGTCAGCTCACGCGAAACGCTTGGTGTACTTCTCGAGCACATCCGTGGGAATGCCACGCTGGCCGCAGAGCGACATAGCGGAGGTGGATGGACAGGGTGAAGCACGACGGGAAGGGCGACGAGGAATATGACGATGACGGGGAGGCACCTGACCAGCCGTACGGCCGATAAGAAACATGACCAAAGAACAAGAAGCAGAACGTCCACGACGGTCAACTGGTTACATCAATATTGACCTTGCAGGCATTTCCATTCACGCTTCCATTCAACATACCATTTTGACAACGACGTGCTGTGGGAGCGATCGTAAATCTCGAACAACCACTGGTTCAAGGCACGTTTCGCTCGTGAATTCCCGAGGACACCATCTGCTGAGACGCACACACGAATCGTCGGCCGTTATGGTATCTGAGTCTGGTCATCACCGACGGGCTTCTAAAGTTAATGTCAAGACGCCAGCACGAACATCGAGAGCGGCTCGTCCGAGCACGATGCCATGACTCGGCCAACCCCTCACGCTGTTCGCCTTCCCCGCCTGCCCCAACGAAGGCCGACGTGGCTGCGTACTCCGAGTTTATCAATGAGCGCGTCCGGGGGGCCTCACTCCCGCCGACAGCCCGCATCGACCCCCGTCGCGGGCAGCCATCGCGCGCCGAAGGCGCTCCGACCCCCGTCGCGGCGCGACGACGGGGCGAGGTTGACCCCCGTCGGGGGGGGTACCCCCCACGCCTATTAAGAAAACAATGCGCAGAGCGCACACCCACCCAGACTCGCACAGCTTTCGCGCATTTTACCCATCCCGTGGGAGCATTCAAGTCTGGCGCGTCGGCAAATGATCCCACCTCCCAACCAGCATGACACACCCCTCGCACAAGATCGATGCGCAACTCGCGCCCTGGTCGACGGGTCCACACACTGCCCCCCCAAATCCGACACGACCCGTCCCTCGCACGCTTCGCTCATCACATCTGGAGCCCGAGCTACAGCCAAAGCGTGCGCGTCCGCGTACAGGCCGCTCAAGAGCAAGAGGCGCGGATAAATCGACTCGGAACGCGCCAAACCGTTGATCGGGTTTCGGTGCGATCTGGGAATCGAAGGAACGCACACAGAAAAGGACTTCTACATCCGCCGACCCTTCGGCGTGTGGGAGACGCTGTCGTCGTCGTCGTTGTCCTCGCCGCACTCACTGGGTCCTCCTCCTCTTGCGTGCCAGCCACGGCGAAACCGGACCGAAACCTCGAGCGCGCCAGCCAAAGCGAAACCAAACCGAACTTGAGCACCGTCGTAGTTGACTCGAAAGGAAACTCCTTCCCTTTGGTCCTTCCCCCCCTGGGGTGGGGGGGGTCCAGGGGGGGGGGTCCCAGGGGGGGAGGGGTGGGGGGGCTGGGTCAGAATACCATCCTCCCCCCAGGGTTCCTGGGGCCCAAAAAGGCCCCGAGACAGCCCAAGAGGTTCCCGACACGGTCCCAGAGGGCTCGAATCGCCGACTGATCGATCCAAGACGCCAGAGATGACCTCCTCGCAGCCCAAGCGGCTGCCAAGACGCTCGAAGAGGCCTTCAAGAGCATACCAAAAGGGCCCCAACAGGCAACACTCACTGATTTTCCTCTGGTTTTTGAAGATACTGGCGCTCTCACTTTTTCAGCTTCCCGACGCTCCAAGACGGCCCAAGATACCAACGAGACGGGCACAAGAGGCCCCCCAAGAAGTTCCCAAGACGGCCCCAAAACGACATAAGAGGACTCCAAGACGGCCCTAGAGGCCTCCCAGACGGCCCCCCAAACGGCTCCAAGTGGGTGCCCACATGGGAGCCCGAACATACATTTCGAGCCCTCGGCCTCGAGAGAGAAGGTCTTCAAGAGGCCAACGGGAAGCCCGAAGAGACCCCCAAGTGGCTCCCAGAAGGCCCCAAAACTGCACCCCAGAGGCCTACGAGCGCGCTTCGACGAGACCCGACGAAACATCCTTGAGAACTATGCCCCACGTCAGCGTCGTCGTTGCCGCCGATCCGCCGCCGCCGCCGCCGTCGTCGTCGTCGTCGTCGTCGTCGTCGTCGACCGTCGTCGTCGTCGTCGTCGTCGTCGTCGTCGTCGTCGACCGTCGTCGTCGACCGTCGTCTTCGTCGTCCACCGTCACCGCCAGTCACCGTCGTCGTCGTCGTCGTCGTCGTCGTCGTCGTCGTCGTCGTCGTCGTCGTCGTTATAGTCGTCGTCAAAGTCGGCAGCACCAGCCGTAAGGCCTTCCCAATGGATTCCATTCAAGTGTTGGAGCGAATGGTGTGTACTGCTCCGCGTGCAGAGTGACCCGTCCCCTGTGATTTTCGATCCCTGCCCACACACACACACACACACACACCAGTGGGCGCGTCCACGTGCTGCCCCCCGCCCAGAATGGCCAACTTATCGCACACGTTCGCTCCACAACTCCAGCTCACTGGTGGGAGGGTCCGCGCACTCCCTCCCCCCGACCCAATACTGCCCACCCCTCGAAACTCCAGTGGACACGTTCGCGCGCTGACCCCCGAAATGGACGGCGCACCGCTCAAGGATTTTCGCCGCCCCTACCTCGAGGAACCTCAACGGCCACCCGTCCTGAATTGCCCGCCCCTTGCCCATGTCGCTCCGCCCTGAAGGGCTCCTACTGATGCCACGTGAGCGTGCGTGCTCGCGCCCCCCACCCAGAATCGCAAACTCCTCGCGCACTCGATTCCCCCCACAAGGAGCCCTAGCAAGGTGCGGCCCTGCTTCCCTGTCCAGAACGGCTCGCCCTTGCTTCGCACAGAACCGCTGGTGGGTGTGTCCGCCAATGCTTCCCCACTCAATCGTCCACACCTCTGGGAAACCCAAACGGAAACCACAACGGGGCGCCCGTAAATCACCAACCACGCGCAATGGCCCCACACTGGTGCAACTAGCTCCTTCCGTATCGTTGCACCCTGGCGGCAGAATGACCTAAAAACAAAACCAACTAAAACATTACAACAATGTACAACGTCGTGCTTATAAAAATACACGTGCAAAAAAACGGGCGGAAACCCCACGAACGAATATACGGAGACCATACGGGAGACCACACGGGAAAACATGCGGGAGACCATACGGGAAACAGTACGGGAAAACGTGCGGGAAATCGGACGCCAAACCATGCTGCAAACCGTACGGAAACCGTGCGGGAGACCATGCGGGAGAACACGCGGGAGAACACAAGCGGGACGTCTTGCGGAGACCGAGCGAGAAGCCGCTCGGGAGACCGTGCACAAAGACAGCTGCACAAGGGGACATCACGGGAAACCGCACGACTCCGCACGGGAGACCACACCACGAGGCACGGCGCACCACACCAGGGGGGGCACCACGGACGACCACACGGGGAGCCCCTGCGGGCGACCCTGCGGAGAAACAGCCACCATGGGAACCCACCACCACGGGAGGCCGCGCGGCAGAGCACACCCGGAGTCCACACCGGAGAGGCGACGAGCCACTGAATGCTTCGTGCCGGGAGAGGCGCCCACACGTGCAGGGCGGCTGCAGGCGAGCTGCGCAGGGCATAAACACTGGATCCCGCTCGGGCCCCCGCGGGCGCGCCCGAGTACGTACTGCCCCGGAGAGAATCCCGCAGCGGAAGCAGAGAGGGTTTGGGCCCCCCCGCCGTGTGTTACATGTGGACTTGGTGCACCTCTCACTCAATCCTTGCGTTGTGGTGCTCACCTGCTCTGTGATCGTAGGCCGATCGAGTTGCCGCGTGCAGGCAATACCGGTCGGATCGAGCCCTGATCAGGGATGGACTGAACCGCTGGGCGGAGGTGGTTTAGCGGGCTTCCTCTTCCACCTTCCCCTTCGGGGAGGGGTTTACCCTCCCCCTACCCCCGCCCCCCAGGTCTGGAGGGGAGAGGCCGCGAATCGTTGGAGCGCCCAAGATGGCCCAAGTTGGCTCCAAGATGGCCCCAGAGAGCTAAAGATAGATGACCTCCAAGATGGCTCAAAGTAGCTTAACATGGCGCTCAGCATGCTCGACGAGGCCCCAGGACCGCCCCAAGTGCCCGCGGTTCTTCAAAGGAGGCCGTCAGGAGGCCACACTCCTTCAAACATCGAAGGAACATGTCTGTTTTGTCTTCTCGCCTTTTCGCTTTCGACGGCCCTCCGAAGCCTCAGGGTAGCTCCACGAAGGCCCACGAGAGCGCCCAAGGCGGCCCCCAGAGCGCCCACGAGCGCTGCAAGAGGCAGCTTTAGAAGCTGCAGAGGTGTGGGCCCAATTGAGTACATACCCCCCTTACTTGATCGAACTGCTCCAAGATGGCCTCAAGACGGTCCAAGTTGGCTAAATATGGCCTCCAACATGCCTCCAAGAGGCCCCAAGAGAACGCAAAAGCGGCCCCCAGTGGCCTCTGGGGCTCTCACCAGCGCTTCCCAAAGCCCAGAACCTTTTCTGACAACATAAACGAAATCAGTGAATCCTACCAGCCATCTGTGCGGAGGTGAATTAACTTAGCAGTTTCCCTCTTCCAGCTTCCTAATCAAATCCTTCTCCCTACCCTCTCCGCCCTGGAATCTTGCCCCCCCTCCACCAGACCATCTCCAGTCCCCACACATACCCCCCTCCCCCCCGCCACCCCCCCGCCACCCGACTCTTCCTTCCCCCCCCCTCTCCCCACTCTTCCCCCTCCTCCCCCCTCTCCCCCGTTTTTCTGCACCCCGCCCCCTCTTCCTCTCCACCCCCTTTTTTCCTTTCTCGTTACCCCTCCACCCCCTCCGGAATCTCCAAGTAGCCACGAGAAAGCTCTGACTTCACCCTTGCCGCTTCCGTCCGTGTCCTCGTTCTTCCGCTCCTCGTTTACTTCTTTTTTGATTGTTCCACCGCTTTCTGCTGCACTTCCCAGACCAGGGCAGCTCGCTTGGGCGTCGTTGCTGGATGGGCCGATGGGGACACGCGAAGCGTCCAGAATTGGTATTCGGGAATCTTCTGACCCAGGTCAATCCAGAGCCAGGTCAGCGAGGCCTTGCAGGACCCTGCGAGACCCTGCAGGATCCTGCACCCAAGCTCGGGTCAATACGACCCTGGCCCTGCAAGATCCTGCAAGATTCGGCGATCTGGCTGACCCCTGTTTGCATTGACCCCCGTCTCTGGAGGCCCGAGGTATATGCCACGCGCAAGCACCCGCAAAGGAGAGCCTTTGAAGAGCATGCGCACATGCAACCCTGCTTGCGTCGCTTCCGTCGGCCCTTCGTGGGCAAGAGAGATGCGGTGAGACCGTGAGCGACGGAGTGGCCACGAACGTAGGGTGAGGTCGGGCATGTCCTCCTACAGGCGGATTTTCAAGGACTAAGAATCCATAGTCAAAACGTACTCAACACAAAATGGGAAGACGACACATCGCCCCCAGACTATTTTTTAAACCATTCTCGAATTCTCCTCATGTAAAGGGACATGCCCGATTTAAACAGTAGACGTAGTACCAGTGAGACGCCCCTGAAGTGCGCTGCGCGTGCCAGAGTGCACGACTTGGCAGCCCTCACCCCTCGCCCCCACTCTGCCTCCAGGCCGATCTTCTCTGACATTACCGCGGCCCCTGGCTCCTTCATTCCTCCTCCCCAGACATCCGACGTCTCGTTTTGTTCGAGACGCGGGCCCCCGACCTTCCAACCACTTCCCTGGGACTGGTTCTTCGTCCCGAGTCGTTTTTTGACGGTGCAGAGGCCCAGCGAGGGCCCCGAGACGCCAACAAAAACTGTGAAAAACCTCCGTCTCGATTTTTTCGAGACGCCCGATGTCTGGGCCTCCTCCTCCTCCGCCTCCTCCTTCTCCGCTCCTTATCCGCCTCCTCCTTGTCGCCCGAAGGCAGCGGCCAGGCGAGGCCCCCAGGGCCGCCGCCTTGAAGTCCGACTGCATCAAGCAATAAAACAGCACGACGCACAGGATCTGGCGGGAAGGGGCAGAGAGAGAGGCAGGAGGGAGGTGGACAGGGGGACGAAGAATGGCATAAACATAAAAACTCTGAGATCCGCGCGGATTTCTCGGATCCGCGCGGATATCTCGGAATGGCATAAACAAAACAACTCGGGGTCCAGCGCCGATCCGAGAAATCCGCGCGGACCTCAGAGTTGTTATGTCTATGTCGCTCTTCGTTCCCCTAGTGGAAGAGGCGGAGGACCAGGAAAGGGTGGAGGGAGAACTGGATAGGCAAGAGGCCGTGCACGGAGAGAACACGCCGTGCCCGGTAGAGACCCAGTGGCGCGCAAGTGAAGCGAACGGACGGCCTCTTATGGCTGCGCTGGCACTGGGAGCCACTACGACGGGAACGAACAGCACCTTGTCCAGTGTTGCACCACGGCTTGGGGGAGGGCAGGAACAGCCCCATCCGCCCTGGTGGTACACACACACAATACGTGCCCCCCTCTTCCAAGACCCCTTGCTCGCTTGTGTTAACTCTGGGTTTCGACACTTGGCCGAAGGGCGGGGATGCGGGGTGGGTGTCCGGGTCTGGGCCGGAGCTTAGTCGAACTGCTTCTACCAGTCGCGCAAGCAGACTGGGGAGAAGAGGCCCTGACCACTCGCCAACAGCAGCCGCCAAATGCAGCCAAGATCTGCTCTGTAGAGGAGGCGGGACCAACAACAAAAAAACAGCGACCTTCTCCCCGACTCAGGGAAGGATTCATCACTGCTCTGTCCTCATAAGTAGGAGCCCGACCATGACAAACCTTCCACAAGAACCCAACCCTGAGAACACAGGAAGTCCGTTGAGTTTTGGTGTGCGAACGTCACGCTCTCCATGGCAACACCATCGAAATTCAAGAAACCGTGGAGGCAAGCAGGATGTTTCTGGGCACGGGTTTCCACTGTATCCACCCCCTTTTCAACTCTGCCTGCCCTTCGCCACGGCCGGTGCCGCCCCCCCGCCACGCCTGTTTAAACAATACCAAATACAGTCGGCCTTGTTTGGACAGGACACGCGAGAGGACACAAGACCCTTCCGAGGGCCACATCGCCATAGGAGTGTAAGAAGGAACGTGTCGCGAGGCACAGGACACAAGGGTACCCTTGAGCTGGTAGGGTCGACCCACTGATCCGGGCCGACTGTATTGCGCCCGAATCTGGATCATCTTCGGGCGCACCGCGATCACCTTGCATTGTTCTCTGCCAGGGACGAGTGGGGGGGGGGGGGGGGGGGAAAGCACCATGGCGTCCCACGTGGTCAGGCCCACCATCCCTGCCCGAAGCTGGTGCGGGGCGCGCGCGCTGCAGAACACCGTTGGGCCGTGCGCGGGCGCCCCGCGATCGTTCTGGACTTTTCCCCGCGGCGAGCGATGGGGGGGGGGGAGTGAGTGGGAGGAGGCCTTCTCAGAGGGCAACGGGACGTCTCAGACGCCCTCGCGCCTTCCGGTAAGGCTGCTGTCTCTTCGGGGAGGGCTTCGCACACTTTTCAGAAGGTCCGGGGACTTCCGAGCCTTCCGAGAAGGCCCGCCCCCTTCCCACTCCCCCCCTCGCTCGCGGCCCAGTTTTGACAGGAGGAGGAGGAGGAGGAGGGGGAGGAGGGGGAGGGGGAGGGGGAGGGGGAGAGGGAGGGGGAGGGGGAGGAGGAGGAGGAGGAGGAGGAGGAGGAGGAGGAGGAGGAGGAGGAGGAGGAGGAGGAGGAGGAGGGCTGATGCGGGTGCCCTGGTGCACGCGCGGTACACCTCGCCGGGCGTGGTGCGCCTGGCTGGCGTCTGCATTTGTGTTCTTCCGATGCTTGTCGATAGAGGGTGGTGCTTGTCTATGCCGAGGCTCGGGTGGCACTCACATGTAGACAAGCGCGCTTCACTGCTCGCAACGTAACTGCTCGCAAATGGCGTGGATCCGCCGAGGGGGATTCGCGATCCATTACGTCCAGGCAGACGTTTGTTTTTGTTCCTGATGTTTGCGGGTAGACACTTTGCGAGTAATGGAACGCGTTTGGTGAACGCGGTGGGAGGACGGGAGGGAGTGAGCGGGACGACCGTCCTTTGGGAGGTGGGCGGGGGGGGTAGCTGGGCAATTGCATTTCTTCATGGATTCCCCGTCCCCCAATCGACCAGCGACCGACCAGGAGCCATGCCGACCCTCCCAGACCACCCCTGTCGAAACAACATGTAACGTGCAATCAGCTTAAGTCGCACTCAGACTCACAAACCCTACGCCAACAACTCTCACCCAGCCACTCATACACAGCCTTACTCATACCCAGACTCACTGGCTCACTCATACCCAAATCCACTCCAACTAAGACGAACCCGTACTCACATGTGTCGGAACTTACCCTCACTCTACCGCTCAGACTCAGGCCCGCTTATACTCGCCCCTCATGTGCAGACCCGCCTGTGACCGCCGCGGGGCATAAGGCGTGGGGCAGCTCGCTCGTTGGGCGTCGCCGACTCCTCTCTTTTGCAAGCTTCACGATCACCGCTATGTAGGACGCGTGGCACTTGCGTACCCCAAGGAGGAGCCGCAAGGGGGTAGGACCCTTGCTCCGGTAGAGGGAAACGATTAGTAAACACCCCCCCCTGCCCCCCAAGCTCGAAGTTGGCACGCGCGGGGGAGACTGCGGTCGAGATGCAACTCATCAGACCCACCGCCAACTTTGAACATTGGGGGAGGGGGAGGCGTTGACCGATGAATGTGGCATGAGAATTCGCTATTTTTTGTCCGAGGCCTGTCGCGTGCGGCCAGATTCTGTGAATGTCTCCATCGTGGCGCTCGTTTGGGGCTGCCGACCCCTTCGCTTTGAGAACCTCGTGGTCAGGGCGATGTAGCAGGCGCCATGCTTGAGAATCCCAGCGAGGGCCCGAAGGAGGGGTGGGACACTTGCCCGTCCGCGCCCAGAGCGTGGGGATGTCTCGTGCGAGGCGCTCGCTTGGCGCAGCCAGCTGTTCTCTGCTCTGGTAGCCCAGTGAGCACACCGATGCGGCAAACGTGGCACTCGGACGCCCCGAGGAGGAGTCGCCAGGGCGTAGGACACCTGCCCGCTCACAGCCAGGCTGTGGGGATGCCTCGGGCGAGGCGCTCGTATGGCGTCGCCGAGCCGTCTGCTTTGGGAGCCCCGTGATCACCGCTGCGAAGCGGGCGTGACGTTCGGGCCCCCGCTGCAGTCTCACTCAGTCCCGCCTTCCTGGTTTCAGAGACACTCATGATCAATCCAGCTTCGTCATACTCGGGTCCCCTCTGATGCAGTTTAGTCATGCGCAGACTTACACACCCTCAGCCACTTGCACCTCCGAGCGCTCACACTCCATCTGACTCGTAGTCAGACTCACTGGCTCTCTCATACCCAGATACAGTCGCGCTCAACTCTGTCTGAACTTACCCACGCTCTGCCACTCATGCTCAGGCCCTTTCATAATCGCTCCTCTTACTCGGACTCGCCAATAGTCACCACGATGCATCAGACAAATCACTTTCGCACCCAAAGGGGGAGCCAGGAGGTAGGACACTTGCCAGTAAGGTGGCGGTGTTCAAGGACTTTGCCGAGGGAACCGACGTGCGGCGAGCGTCTACGACGCGCGCTAGGTCCAAACTGAGCTGCTGAGAAATAGGTAGGGTTGTCCCAAGGCCCTTGTGGGCTGGAGAGGGCGGGTGCAATAATCAACTTGTAGTGCTAGTGCATCGGAAGTGAAATGCATCAAACAACCCCGTGCAAGCACATATCTGTGAGGTGCCTGGTTTCCAAGGCATTGCTGGGGGGACCGACGTTCGGCGAACGTCCACGAGGCATTCCAGGTCCTGCGTCCAGAAGAACTCCCGAAACCAGCACTGCGCTGGTTCACCGCAAAACAGTCCACGCTACGCTTTGATCTAACGAAGCTGTACATACAGTGGAGGCTAGTCCACCAGAAACCTTCCACAAGAAACCCAACCCTGGTTCCAGGACGTCCATCAGTTTTTGGTGTGGGAACGTCACGCTCTCCATAGCAAAACCATCGAAACCCAGGGCACCCTAGAGGCAAGCAGGGTGTTTCGGCAAACGGACGACACAAGACGCCGTAAACGACTAGGATGATGGCTGCTGGGCTCTGCTCGGGATCTCGAGCGAGACGGGCCTGAGCACACCGGTGAATGAACACACATGACGGCCAGCACATCTTAATTTTGCGGAGGCTGGTCGCCCTCACAGCAGGAGCTCCTCTGGCCTCCTCCTCCTGGTCCTCTTCCTCCTTCTGCTCCTCTTCGTTCTCCTCGTTCTCATCGTCATCATCCTTCTTCTCCTCTTTTGTTTGACGTTGCTCGAACTTCATGCTAAAGCACGCGGCGTTCTGTTATTCTTCTCCTCCCCCTCTGCCTCCTCCTCTCCTTCAACCTCCTCGTCCAACGAACTCTCACGGGCATCGTTGCTGGATGGTGGGAAGACGCGACACGTCAAGAATTCTTGTCAAGCAGTGACCTCCCTGCCTCTGCGACTCTCCACGCCTCGCGCGCAGGTGTTGCAGGTGCAACTAGCGACCTCCCGCCTCCCTCCTCCACTTGACGCTAACCCACGTCCAAACCGAGCTCCGTCATTTCTCTCCTCTAGAGCCATCGTGCTACCATCGGGAACTCTAAACAAATGACTGTGCTGTTGTTGTTGTTGTTGTTGTTGTTGTTGTTGTTGTTGTTGTTGTTGTTGTTGTTGTTGTTGTTGGCCACGGCACGCCTCGGCAACGAACAGAGACCCCGACCTAGCTCCCAGGAGCGGTCCGACAACTGGAGCCCATCCGAAGCCTGAGGTAGTCCTCACTCCAGCGCCTTCCCAGCACCCTCTTCTCCCCAGACTCGCCCTCCCTCCCTCCTGATCTCTCCGCGGCGGCGCCCTGTGCACCACGATGCTGACAAAGTTCAGGATGCAGTGCCGCCAGAGCTGCTGGGAGAAGAGCGTTTGCTGGCGTGTCGGGGGGGGAGGAAGAGGAGGAGGAGGAGGAGGAGGAGGAGGAGGAGGAGAAAGAGGAGGAGGAGGAAGAAGATGAGGAGGAGGAGGAGTAGGTGGAGGAGAAGGAGGAGGAGGAACGCGACAAGCTAGTTCCTCACGTCAGTCGAACGTAAAAAAAGGAGGAGGAGAAGGGAGAACGCGACAGGCTAGTTCCTCACGTTAGTGTAACGTAAAGAGAGGAGGAGGGAGACCGCGACAGGCTAGTTCCTCACGTTAGTCGAACGTAAAAAAAGAGGAGGAAGAGGAGGAGGAGGAGTGAGGAGGAGGAGGAGGAAGAGTGAGGAGGAGTGAGGAGGAGTGAGGAGGGCGTCGCTGGGCTGCCGCCAATCCGCCGCTCCGCCACCCCTGGCAGCGGCAAGTGCGTAAGCCACTGCGTGCCGGCGATCCCCGCCTGCCGACGTCGTCGGCGCCTCGCTTGTCGCCCGCGCCTCTCGCCGCCCAGCGATATCAGTCTCCCATCCCAATGGTTCGAGTAGGGGATCGACTGCAGAATTGATTTACCCCAAAGTGGAATTTCTTCATCGAATCTACAACGACAACGTGGATGTCTCGCAAATCAACTAAGAATTTGAAGTGTTTTCCGTAGATTCGACGAGAGCGCCAATTTCAGGGTAAATCAATTCTGTAGTCGATCTCCTACTCGAATGGTTCCCTGCCGTCCCCTGCCTCCTCACACTTTTCCCACGCAAGGGCGCTCAATGTTACATCTTCCCTCTTGCACATTCCTGGCCACGTCCTCCTTTGTTTCCTCAAATCTCTCTTCGTGGCTCCCCCTGGTACCTTCCGGACTACACCCTCCCCCGCTTCCTTGTGAAGCGACACCACGGAGGAGAAGCAGGGCGTAGCACAACGACACGCTCGACGCGGATGGGCCAAGGGGCCACGGCTGGACCCGCACGGCCGCACATGCTTGCGTGTGGCTGCACATGCCCTGCATGTGGCTGCATATACCCCGCATGGGGCCGCATATGTCCTGCACGTACCCCGCATGTGGCGGCATGTGCCCCGTGCGTAGCTGCATGCTCGGTGGAGAGCTGCGCAGGGGGGCAAGTGGAACTGCGGGAACGGCGGCTGAGCCGGTGGGGGCACTCAGCAGGCCCCGAGACTGCGGAACTGCGAGGTGTTCGCGTGAAGGTCCGCGGGAGAGTGTGGATGAGGCCTGCGTAGGCCTGTGGCTGAGGCCTGTATTAGAATGAAAGTGATGGGAGCCTTCCCTCAAACACAAAGTGCGCAAAAGTGCACAACAGTGCGCAAATGTGCCCCCTCAAAGTGCACAAAATGCGCCAAAGTGTTGTTGCGCGATGCTCCCTAATCGTTATACAGAACTGTGATTCACTGTTTCCAAGGACGAACGTTCATTTGAAAATAGGCTCCCATGAGTTGCTATCGAACCTGTAGGGCATGCGGTGGAGGCAAGCGGGACCTGCCACGTGGAGGTCTGTGAGGGCCTGAGGGCTGTGAAAGGCGGTGAAAGTCGGTGAAAGTCTGTCAAGTTCCGTGAAAGCCTATGAACGTCTGGAAGGTCCGTGGAGGTCTGTGGTGGAAGCTTGCGCCCCCATCTGAAAGAATTTTCGGCCCTGTCGGAGACCACACACGCCCCGTTTGATACCACTCCCGGCCCCGTTTGACACCACTCCTGGCCCTGTTTCCACTCCTGGCCTCGATTAATACCACTCCTGGCCCCGCCCCTCTGTTTGAGACCACACCTGGCCCTGCTTGAGAGCACTTCCGGCGCCTGCTTTAAGACCATTCCTGGTCGTGTCTCCATGCTTGATGCCACTCCCGGCCCCCTCTGAGACCACTCCTGGCCCTGCCTGAGGCCTGGTTTGCAGCCACTCCTGGCCCTGTTCCCTTCTCGAAACAGCTCCGCGCCCCGCCTCCTGGCCCCGTTTGAGACCACTCCACTCCCAGAGGAAGAACTGCGGCCGTAGTCCAGGACTGCGGAGCTGCGGTCGTGGCCCGGGAGGTCCCAGGTCTGCGGGTAGCCCCAGGAAGCCCAGGAATTGCAGTACTGCGGGCAGCCCCGACAGTCCCAGTAGAGAAACTGCGAAACACTGCAAGTAGTCCCTGAGAAAGGTGAAAGAATTGCGCGACTGCGGGTGTTGCTCAGGAGGCCTGGAAACTGCGGATCTGCGGGTAGTACGGTCGACCCGCATCATCAGGATGCGCAGTAAGCATGCAGGGGCACTGGACACCCATTTCGAAGCTTTTCGAGCAGGGCGCGGCCAACGAAAGAGGTCAAGGATGGGCCGAGGAGGCAAGGATGCAAGGGTGCCCCTGGGTTATGCTGTTCCCATCGTACTTAAGGACCGCATCCCAGACATAATTTTGAGCACCCTGAAAAGTATCGAAACAGTTTCTGACCGACACGCTAGCGAAGTGTCGAACGAGCACCGCCTCCCAAGGCCCGACACGTGAGAACCCTCCCATTTGGGTACTTCCCTGTTGTTCGAAATTCGTTGTGGCGATAAAGGCTGAAGTAGGCCGGAACATCACAACCCTTGGGAAGGCTACCCCTCTTTACTGTGCGGGTCGACTGTAAACCCTGGGAGTCCACGGGAGGCAGCCCCTTCGGGAGGCCCGGGACCCCCGCGGCACTGCGGGTATGATATGTGGACCCCAGCAGGCAGGGGGGCAACAACCCAGCACGGCAAGTCTCGTCTCCGGCGGGCCGCCAGCAGGCCCAGGCACCGCGGAGCTGCGCGCCAAGGGTGGCTCCCATCCCCATCCTGGCCATCGCTCGAACGTCCATTCCGTGTTTTTTTAGGTTTCGTGCGTGGTTTTTTTTTTTTCGCCAAATGATCAGGGATGCTCCTCGATGGTCCTCGCCGAAGGAAAAATGCACACGTCCGAGCGATGCCAAGCATCTCATTGATACTTCTCCTCCCTCCCCGTCCTTACATCTACAGACAAGGCCCGCGCCTCCTTAAAAGCAGGGGTGCTTTTCAGAAGCCTTCCCCCCTCCCCCTTGCCCCCCTTCTGCGCGTGGCCGACTTCCTCGGACCCCCTCCGGCCTTCCGAGAGGCCGTCTGTCTTCGTAGAGGCCCCAGGAACCGACTTGCTCCTGGCCTGCTGCCTGCTGCCCTTGAGCCCGGCTCCTGGCGTGCGGTGGCGCTCGGGCTGCTGGCGCCTCCCGCGTGCTCGTGAAGGGCTGTGCCCAGGAGGCCTCGGGCCTCGGAGGGCCTCGGAGGACTCGTCGTGTGCTGGGGGCGGTGGTGATGTCCACGGCCCGGGCCTCCGTCTGCGAGGGCCGGAGGGCTGGCCGAGCCTCCCGAGAAGGCCCGCCACCCCTCTGCACTTCCCCCTGGGGCTCGCCGCCGACCCGGCCAGCCTCCTCTCTCTCGGGTGGCTGCTGTGCCGCGGGGGCCCGCGGGCTCTCGGGGAGACGAGTCGGGGGCGCCGAGGCAAGGAACCGCGCGCGACGTCCCCGCAATCTGGGCGCGAGCAGGCCCGGGATGTGCCCCCCTGGCGCCTCCTCCCTGCGGTCCTCGAGCGCCACGCCTGCCATGCCGCCGGGATCATGGGGCTCTCAAAAGAGAGAATGCGGGGGCGCCAGCACACGCAAACCGCCTAAGACCTCCCCGCAAGCTGAGCCCGGGCGGCCCATGAGATGCCCCCATGGCGGCTCCTTCTTTGGGTGCCCGACTGCCACGCCTGCCATGTCGCGGCGGCCATGAAGCATCCAAACGAGAGGAATCGCGGGTGCCGAAACGGGCAAACCAGCCGCCTGAGACATACCCAAGATCTGGACGCAAACGGGCCCAAAATATAGTTACCCCCTGGCGGTTCCTCCCTGGGGGTGCCCGAGTGTCACGCCTGTTTTTTTTTTTCGTAGGCATCCAGGAGCTCTCAAACAGAGGATTCCGAAACAAGCACATCGCCTGAGATATCCCCACAATCTGGACTCGCACGGGCCCGTGCTATACCCCCTGCCCGCTTTCCTTGGGGTGCCCAAGTCCTGCGCCTGGTACGTCGGGTTGGAGATGGTCTGAGAGTAAGCGAGTCCCAGCGTGGCTGTGTGATGGTAACTAATGCCACACCTGCTACTTCGGTTGTGAGCTCGTCTGAACGCCAATGACTCTCAATATGTGAATATGCGTATGGTGGCTAAGCTGAATGTGAGCGT